TGGGGAAAAATGCAATCCTCAATATGGCTGCTTTATCGAAGGAAGCCCCGCCTTCTGAATAAAAGAGCCAATCCATAATCGGTATAAGTCATCATGTTACTGCAGTTGCCATTAGAAGTCCCGGTTGCTATAGAAACAAACTGCGCATGTGAACTGGCTGGTCTAGCCTGAAAATTAAGCTTTTACAATGCTATTTGAGCAAAAGAAACAAAATTTATGAGACAGTTGTTGTCAGATTTTATTGGTGATTTCAAATATGAAAATTAATCGTAAGCTTAGTGAACAGTTTTGGAGAATTTGATGTTTCCCCATTAAAAGAGGTACTGCACTTGCATGCCCAAGAGGCATTTTAAAGATGGTTGCCAAGTGAAATGACTTGCCTTAAAGGGACTTTGCTTCCATCAACAAGTGTTCCATGAGTCTTTGGAATGATGCAGTGGCGTTTTTCAGCCCAAACGGGAGACAAAGAAATGTATATATCTCTGAGGAGGTTGTGAAGGCTGTCTTCTCAATACTGTCCACTTCCATTTCCATCTGCCAGTAACCACTTTTTAAATCAAGAGTTATAAAAACAGTGGCACAGTGTAAAGACTCCAAAATTAGCTGAATTTGTGGCATTGGGTAAGCGTCTAGATGTGTCTTAGCATTAAGACCCTATAATCAACACAAAACCTAGAACTTCCATTCTTCTTCGGTACAACAACCACCGGTGATGCCCATGGTGAGATCGGAAAATTATTTTCTCCAAAAGCTCTTGAACTTGGGACTCAATGAACGGATGTTTCTCCAGTGAAACCTATCTATGGTAGTGATACAATGCTTGACATAATTTGTTCTGCTAAGCTGTTGAGTGCACACTGTGGGCCAACTTAACGTTAACTCCTCCAAGTTCTTTTGAATGATGGGGTCTGAATCTACCATTTGTGTGGTTCGAAGAATCTGCTGATGATCTTCTGAACTAACAGTAGGCATGGCTAGATAAAAGTAAATCTAAGAGTGGCCATTGTGATGCATAAAAGAAAAAATCTTTGGTTCCGGTGAAGTAGATAGCTGGAACTGTGCTTTGTTAAAATCCAATACCATCTTTTCCAATACCACTTTAATAAAAAAATCAATTCCCAGGATAATTGGTATGGTTAGATTGGAGTCTTGCATAATATAGAAAGTTGCATTTATCTTTTGCCCCTGGACTTCACATTCCCAATTAACTTTACCCAGTGAACTTTGCCTCTGTCCATTTGCTAATAGGAACGTCTGACCTCCACTAGGCTGATAATCTTCATGACGACTTAATTGTTCCCACAAAGACTTTTGTATCAGTGAAAAGGTGCTGCCTGTATCTACTATAGCAACGACATAGCTGTTTCTGAGTATTTAAGGAATGGTGATGTTTTTTTTTAAATCATGAGGTTGATCCAACTCTGATCCAACAGCATAACTCGATTAGCACTTGTAAGGATTTGCGTTGGAACTCTGGAGCAACAGGTCCAGGTCCAAGTTTCCTTAAAGGGGTCATATGATGCAATTTCAAGTTTTCCTTTCTCTTTGGAGTGTTACAAGCTGTTTGTGCATAGATAAGATCCCTAAAATTGCAAAGACTAAAGTCTCAAACCTAAAGAGATATTCTTCAAAAAAGTTAAGACTCGTCCACACCCTCCTAAAACGCCTCGTTTAAACACGCCGCCACATGTCTACGTCACTATGTGGGAAGATTTGCATAACACCACCCAAATGTTCATGCAAAGAAAGAA